TCATTTATCTCTTTTGTGTCCCTATATTTCCAATTAATGCAATTTCCTTTCCTTCGAGTGTTGTGGTCTGCTTGTCTTGTTTCATGTTCTCCAGACTTGTTGATCGAAGGGGGAAATTGTTGGCTGACACAGCACAGTATTGCTTAAGACGGTTGTGCTCCTTAAACATCACAATAGGATGGCATTTCATTCTTCCAAGTCTTCCTGAAGTCAACAAAGCAGTAGAGCTTCTCATCTTCACCGAGAAAAGCTCTCGTCTTCATCGAGAAGTGCAACACCAGCTTATCGGTTATCTCACTCGACATTCTACTCAAAGATATCTACAAGTAGGCACCACCTCTACAAAAGTTTCTGGAAAGGAAGTTATCATGAGACTCTAGCAAAACGGTCATCTTCCTCAAACGGCCATTCTTCTCGACTGCCTATAAATTAGGTATCTTCTCCAATTGTAAAGGTTGGCGGTTTGTAGTGAGTGAAACAGTAGAGAGTTTTTCTTATGCATTGGGTCCATTAATTACTTCAGTAGCTTTGTCATAGTGTTGTCAAACTGGATGACTTAAGCTTGGGAAGTAATTAGTTCTTGGTTGTGAGTTTAAAGAGCCAATTCGATTGGCTCGGCTAGGGTTGCTGTTTGTAATCTGTTATCCTTTTCATTAATAAAATATTTCTTTTGTTACAAATTACTAAGATGAGAGTTGCATCAAAAGAGTTTAAGTGTTAAGTTTCGAGATCTTCTTCCCATTCTGAGTTAACAAAAGCATGGCAGAAATTTAAAGCAAGACATTAATTCATGGATAGTTGAATCGATCGGTTAATAGCAACAATATATAACACAAATAATGAAATTGATGCGAAAATAAGTAGTTCCTTTAATGAATGTAGTATAAACAATGTAGTTGGAGGAATTAAAATAGAAGGCAGTAAGTAAAGCTTGACAGAATTAGAACAATGGAATTGATGATATTGTTAATGAATCAAAGAGAGGTTTGAGGTTTACAAGCACCAACCTTGTGGGCAGCTTTGGATCTCTGATTCCTTCTTCTTCAACTATTACAAGCTTTAAACTGGAAATTTTTGTAAGAGGACCAAAGAAAAAAAATATTTCCCTATAGCTCACTATTTCTCCAGCGTCCCTCCTTCTCTTCTCCGAAACCCCCCCCCCCCCAACAAAGAGCCCAAAGATCTCACTTATAGCCAACTGAACGCGCCACGTGTTAACTTCCGATTGGTCCGTTCAGAGGCTGTCTCTACAAATTGCTGCCATTCCTTCTTGAAGTGCGAAATTGGGTCGAGGTGGGCCAAACCTGCCAACTTCAGTTTGTGGGCTTGAATTGAACTGGATCTAGAGACCTGTTTCTGTGCTGGAGTGGACTTCAATTTGGGCCGAGCTCTGGGCTTGAACTGGTTTTCAATTTGGTTCTTTTGCAGGTCTATGGCTGGTTTGAGCGCCAAGGAGATGGGCTTCACGCCTAGTTTGGGTTTTCATTTGATTGGAGTTGAATCTCGTTTTATTTTTGTATATGTTAGCAATTGTGTTTTAAGAACTCATGGAATATTAATCAAGGTCATTGATCTTTTATCGAGATGTAATCCTTTATGGTGATGTATATTTGACAAAACAAAACATCTATTTCTTTTATTCGATTGAGCTCATCCCTTATGTCCTATCCAAATCCAAACGCAAACCTTGAGTAGTCTTTTACACGGTAAACCAACAAACTATAAAATTGAATTTACTATTGCTTTCATCCAATTGAGCCAACCTAAAACTAGACAGGGTAGCTTTGGTCATTGATGCTTTAGATTTGCCACTGCAAATCTCAAATAATTTATCTAGAATTGTACAGGATTGATATTTGGTAATCATTAGTGTCACTGGTAAGCCTGGTCACTTTGATATTAGAACTAAATAAGACTGAATTTTGTAGTCATTTGTACTTATTGATTAGCCACTACCAATCTCAACCAAATCCTTCAAAGCATTCTATTTCATTCATCGTTATAATTTTTCCTTTTTTGAGTTTAAGTACAGTCGTTACCACGGACAAAATGTGGTGTCTACAGGTAATTCACCCGAATCCACCTAATTATAACTCACCGGTGGATGTGGTTGATGAGTGTGCATTATCGTTTGTATCGCCCATTAAATTTGATTAGATGATCTCGAACTTTTTTCTTTTGATGAGATGACTGGTGGATCATTATTCGCAAAAAGACTAAAAAACAAACTTTGAGCTCTTTTGGCTTACTTTAGCCACGAGGGCCGGCTATCTGCATGTGTCCCAAAGTAACTTCCATTTTTTTTGGTAATGGGTATACTGGGAGAGGAGAGAAAAGTTTGGAATTCTTCCTCTCCCTCCCTTCGGTCGAGTATATTGCATAACCTATCCATTCGGTCGAGTATATTACATAACCTCTCCATTCGGTCGAGTATATTGCATAACCTCTCCTTATACGCTCTAAAAAGGGATTCTGGACCTATTAGTTCACCCATTTTTGGTAAAGATTTTGCCAGTTTTTAGCATCTGTAAAATATAAGTAATAGGTCTATGGATATATCCATTTCATGTCAACAAAAATCCTTTATTTTTATTTGTACATCAGATACTTTAGAAGAGTTTCTCATTTCGAAGGACTATCCTTGTCTTTGTTCATTGTTGAAAGAGAACCCGACCCGACATCTTTTATTTTGAGTTGCGTTATCCCCTGCTTCAAGATCTCGTTCGTGTATGCACGCGAGCAAGTGTAGAATCTCTTACTTGCCTGACCTGCTTCTCTGAGTCCGAAGCTATTGAATCTGCTTCTAACAAGAAAGAAGGGTGTAAAGGTGTTAACACGCTAAGCCAGTTGTTGACTGATAACCCGACTTCCACCCAATAGTAATACACTAGCTTTTACCCGACCCGTTGGTCGGATGAATTTCAGCTTATATTGTACTATTTATCTTTATTAATTTATTTATATTTTAAATAATGAGGGATCATTTATATAGATTATACATGATTTGAAAGTAATACTCGTGGTACTCGTTATTGATGATATTATGGATAATTAGTTCGTACGCGTATTTTTGTTGATCTGCTCATCCTAATTTAATGTTTTTTATAAATTTTTTCATATTTTTTAATAAATATTTGGGTGCGCCTATGGTGCCTTGCAAGTTAATGTAACTTGCACAATTTGGTCGAGCTATCCCTAACTTTCGTCGACCAAATTCACTAAGGTGGTCACTCTGATGAAAAATCACGGTCGACCATTAAAATATAGTGGTCGATCGTTTAAGTTAAGTTGATGCATTAATGGTCGACCATAATAAAACTTCAGTCGGCCTTTTTATTATATTCAGAAGCAAAATGGTGGACTGTAAACGTAAGGAGGTTGACCAGTTGATGGCAGTCATTACCAAAATGGTTGTTCATTTACAAAAAGAGGTTGACGAGATAGAAGAGTAAAGTTCTATCCATTAATCCATCCCTCTTTGACGTGAAAAGAACATCAAAAGTGTTGTTTTCCGATCGACCGCATACAGGAAAATCCGCCTATGACCTTCGACTTTTTTGCTTATGTATGTCGATGTGGGTGGTTCGTTTTCTCGTACAAATTATGTTTGAAACTAACAGAATCAGTCCTAAATCATGATAGTAAGGACCCATAACTTCATAACATAACAACTTAACACACTGACAAGAAATACAATAAAACACACCTCATAATTGTTCACACGTACCTAAAATCGAAAACCACATAATATCAATTCGCAATCAAAGTTGTTTCAAACCAAATCGTCTTTAAGACTTAACAAAAAAAAAATCTAAAATCATAGAGTTCCTACACCTCTCCCCTCTCTCACTCATCCGCATTTTCCTCATTGGTGATGCTAGCATTATGGTAGTCGGAAGTGGTGGGATGCATGTATCTTCCACTGAATGATCGAAATGCATCTCGCATCTCTGTTATGGTCACCTACAATGCGCTCATCTAGGTGATCATCTGCCCCATGTAGTCGTACATGCCGGTGATCTGGGTGGACATCTTCCCCATGTAGTCGTACATGCCATCCATGCGATCCCATTAACGCTGTAGGGTGACTGGTTTAGCAAAACTTTGTGGCTCCGTCATTTGCTCGTCTCCGGGCTCCTCATCAGCAGCAACAACAACATCATCATCATGGAATGCATGAGGATTGTATGCTCAGACATACTCACCATCATGAATCTCAAATCCCCCCTTCTTCAGGGATGTAACTGTATAGAACTCCTACCTTGTGACTCTTAAGCCAATCTCTTCACTTAAATTCACACTAAAATGCTCAATAGCAGAGTCATGATCATCCCATAGGGAAGATTCCTATTTGAACTTGATAATCGACTGCAACATATGGAATTCTTGAGCTTTATGTGACTACTCCATGATATGTTTAAGTTGATTGGTGTTGTTTTATACGGAATTAACCCGGAAATGGTTGAAAAGCCATTATCATTATGTGTTGGAGTTTTGGTGTGTTTTAGGTGGCAAAGAAAAAAAATATGGAAAGATGGCGGAACAAGCGAGCAGCAATGGTTGGCGGTGATCGAATTGAATTTAAAGTCCAACATAAAAACAAGTTTTGAAAATAAGGAATTAAAGAGAGTTATTTTCACCTGAGTACTTGTGGACACGTCTTTGTGCATGCATTTTTGTGGCCCAAGTACCTTGTCCTTTTCTGGACGGGAGAAGCAGAATGCAAAGTTAGGTTACACAATTCTAGGGGTGGCAGTTCGGTTGTCGGTTAGCGGCTAACCGGTCGGTGTGACCGATAACCGTCGGTTAGCGGCTAACCGATAACCGCCCTTTACTTGTAGCGGTCGGTTGCCGGAAGGCCTGAGGGGTGCTTCGGTTAGCCGACTAACCGGAAACCGGTTACACGACTAACCGAAAGGTAACCGACCTCCGCGCCTGCTTCTCCAAAACAACCCCGCTTCCATTCCCAAAACCCCTCCCCCACACGGCCACATACATAACTAAACCTAACCCCTTACCCGAAAACCCTAATTCCCAAAACAAAAATCTCCCCTTCCTTTCTCCACGCACCGCGCCGCCACTCCGGATCTCCCGGCGCGATGCCGTGCCTCTTCGGATCTCCCCGCGTCGTGCCTCTTCCGACACCAGATTGCCGGCCATCCTCCCCGCGTCTGCTTCCTTCATCTCCGCCATCGCTCGTCCGCCACCACCATCGTCGTCGAGACTCGTCGCGATTCTTCTCTTCCATCACTCGTCGAGACGCTAGAGCGTCTTCTTCTCTTCCATCACAGGCGAGACTCGTCGCGATTCGCCGCTCGTCCGCCACCACTTGTCACCACCATTGGTTCGGCTGCGCCTCCATTTCCTTGGCGAGTGCTGCTTCTTCCGATTTAAAATGAAGAGAAGGAAGGAGTGAGGGAGGAGAAACTCAATAAATCTAAAATGGAGAGAAGGGAAGAGAGTCTCAACTCTCAACAGATCTAAAATGGAGGAGAAAGGAGGAGAGAGAATGAAGGGGAAAGTGGACAGGCGTAGACTAGACGCGTAGTGCCTCTGGAAAAAAAATTAATCGTCAATATGAAGAGAAGGATATGTTTTTCGGTTGGCCGGCTAATAGTGACTCCCTCACGGTCGGTGGCCAGTAGCCATAGGGGGTGGCCCGGTTTATCCGATAACCGAGAATTCGGGTTTCGGTTAAACCGAAACCGACTGACACTTCTACACAATTCGTAGGATAGGGGTCGGCGCTCCCGCTTCCGAGCGCAGAAACGCGAATTAGAGAGGAATCACACAAAATTCACAATTTTTTTTGGAGGGCGAATTTTGTGGGATAATTCGCGAATTTATATCACAGAAAAGGAGTGGGAGAGAAATCGGAGATGGTGTCCGCCAATTTAGTGAAGGAGACGAAATCCCTACCTGGTTTGATGGACGAATCCGGAAAGAAAGGGACTTTTTTGACTGGGGAGTTTTAGAACTTTGCTGGGAAGAAGATTTTGCGGGCAATTACCAACATTGTAATCCGAACTAGGAGTTCAACTATAAGCCAACTTTCCGGGGAAATCAGTGGGGCTTATCTGTGTTTTGAAGAATGGAAGGCTATAGGGAGAAACTGGGGGATTTGTATATGAGGAAGAAGAGGGAAATATGCAACCACAGTCCTGTAGAAGAAGGGGTAAGGGAAAATTGCTCGAAGGTGGGCGGATGTGAAGAAGGCAGAGGAGAGTTAGGTGAGTGCGACATGCAAAGCCAGAGCACCAGATTTGAAGGATCTGGCAACATATCCGAGCGAGCATCGATTGGGGTTGTGAAAGGCGGGAGGGAGGGGAGAATATCTATTCCCAGACCCGTCAATCTTGCTTGTATCTCAATCGGCAGTAGCCGTGACGGTGGTCGGATGGGATTGGATAAGTTCATGATGAATGATCAGGATTGGGTTCTGCTGGTGGAGATGAATGGAATAACGGTGCTAGGTAGTGATGGAGGTCGCCGCAAATAAGCTCATTGAAGCGGCAGAGACAAATCTCTAATTGATGGTGGAATTGACTGCGGAAGCGGAGAGGACATGGTGGGGTAAGGGTGAGGGGACGCTTGAAAAGGGAGAGGGAGGAAGAATTTAAAATTTTAAAATAGGCTCATATTTATGATTTATGAACAAAGTAAAAGAACAAACACATATCCATCGCGCATGCACAAAATGAATATGGCTTTATTATGGTTATGGGGTTACACTTACAATATACATGATTTAATTTTATAATTATTTGTTTAATTTAAATTATTTTTATATAATATATTGACGCTCTCTTCACGTTTTCAATATTCAATTCTTGAAATATAGACGCTTTCACGCTCCCGCTCTCGCTCTCAAGAACCGGTTACCTAAATGCAATGTGTGGATTTATCTAACCAAAAGGGGAATTCTTTTAATTTCTTGGCCCAAGACATGCCGACAGAATCGGAAGCAGGTCAAGTTAGGGAATGAGCCAACCACAACCACAACTCCTAGGCCTTCCCTAACCAAGAATCGTCAATAGAGAGGGAAGGCTTCATCACATGTCGTCCCTATACACTACCAACACCACTACCGCCACCGCGCATCAACGAGCCTGCCATCATGGCAGAAGATCGTTCGATCAAGGCTTGTTTAAATCGCAAGACTGGAGCCCGAGCTTCAGGGGTTGTCATTCCTGCTGAGAATGATGACATGGAGAATACCCCATCATTCATCAACATGATTACCAATGGGTATATCTTCTCCGGTGCTAGCCATGAGGACCCTCACAACCATCTTCGCCGGTTTGTGAGCATATGTGATACGATTAAGAGCCCAACAGTGTCTGATGATGCAATCCATCTTCGGATGTTCTCATTCTCTCTTATAGGGAATGCATCATACTGGTTCTAGAACTTGACACCTCGTTCCATCGCGACCAGGGCTCAACTTGAGAAGACTTTTCTGTATAAGTTCTTCCCACCTGCATTGGCAAGAAGAGATTGTTACTTTTAAGCAAGCAGATGATGAGAGTCTGACTAAAGCATGGGAGCACTATAAGGGGCTATTGATAAGATGCCCAAGCCATGGTCTGGAAGAGTGGAATGTAATCATAATTTTCTTTAATGGAATCAGAAGGGAGTTCCGGAATGTCCTGAATAATGATTCTCGAAATGGTTTCATAAGTATGGAGGCACCAACATCTTATAATTTGGTAGAGAGGATGTATTTGGAAACTAATGAGTGGGGGTAGTGAGAGCAATATTTAAAGAAGAGGATGCTTGCATGAGATAGACAGAGTTGTGAGTCTAGAAGCCAAGATAATGTTAAGCTGGATTCTAAGTTTGATGTACTCGAACGAAGGCTGGCCAAGATTGCTCTTAGTAGACAAGAGGAGGTAGCTTCATGTGCACTTTGCGAGGGTCCTCATCATAGAGATATGTGTCCACTGGGAGGTGCTCATTTGGAAGATGTTCACTTTATCAATAACCCAAGAATTCAAGGCCAAAGTGATATGTATTCAAATACATACAACCCTCAATGGAGACATCACTCCAATTTTTCATGGTCAAACAACAATCCAACTGGTGTCCGAAACATCCCACCTCCGGTTTCCAGCAGCAGCAACCTCAACCAGAGAAGAAGCCCCCAGTTAGAGGAGTTAATTTTGGCTCACATGCAGAAAACTGACAATAATATGAAGGGTCTAGATCAGTTTTCACTCAACAGCTAGCCATCAACAATAATTTACAATCATCTATGCTAGCTATGGAGAGGCAGATGGGACATATGACTCAAACTTTGGCAGATATGCAAGGAAGAATCTGGAGACTTTACCAACAAATACTGAGAGGAATCCGAAGAATGCCATGGTTGTAGCTGTCACATTGAGGAATGGGAAGGAGTTGGAGGATCCAGAGAGTTCAAGGAAGTCAACAAAATCAGAAAAAAGGAGCTGCAAAGGTAGAGGATGAAGAAAGTGGAAAAGCTGAAAAATCTGACTTGCACAGGCAAACTGCATCCAATCTGCATGTGCTTGAGCATTCTGCCTGTGCACCTCCAAAGGTGGAAAAATTCAAGAATGAAGAGCTAAAGCCTTATGAACCTCCCGCACCATTCCCTCAGAGGTTAATAAAGCCATGGAAGATCCAAACTTCAAAACATTTGTGAATATCATAAATAAACTTCAGATCAACATACCATTGGCGGAGGCACTTGAACAGATGCCTACATATGCTAAATTCTTAAAGGAGTTGCTAACAAAGAAGCGCAAATGGGCTGATCTAGAGAAGGTAACCCTTAATTCTGAAAGTAGTGTTGTGATTCAGAATAAATTACCAGAAAAGCGGGATGATCCGGGTAGTTTCACCATTCCATGTGTCATTGGAGGTACAGAGTTCAACAAATCACTTTGAGATCTTGGAGCAGGGATTAATTTGACACCATACTCAGTCTACAAGAAATTGGGACGGGGAGATGTTCTTAAGCCTACTCAAATCACTCTCCAATTGGATGATCGATCAGTGAAAATTCGAAAGGGAGTGCTAGAAAATGTATTGGTGAAGGTGGGGAAGTTTATTCTCCCAACAAATTTTGTCATTCTGGAGATGGAAGAAGGACGGGGAGTACCTATCATTCTTGGTAGACCTTTTCTAGCAACTTGAGATGCAATCAACGATGTTGGGAGAGGCAAAGTGACATTCAGAGTAGGTGAGGAAGAGTAAACTTTTAATGTCTTTCAAGTTGAACATAATCACGACGTATTTGATGACTTTGAAATTGGATCTCAAGAAAGGAAAAATTTTCTCTTCTTGTGATAGTGGACCAGCCGAAGAATTATCACATGTCCTATCAGCTCATATTCTAAAATAAAAGCAGGGATATAAATCTTTGCCAGGTCACCTCAAGTATAGATATTTGGGTAAGGATTTCAATCTTCCTGTTATTATTCCTTCTTCACTGACATTGAAACATGAAGAGTACTTGCTTGAGGCGCTACAGTACCACCTACGCCTCACTTAAGGGTTTAACATGCAAGCTAAGAAGGTCAAACCAAATTTCCGCACACATGGCCCTGCAGAGGTGACTCATATGTTGGATGGAGGTTATGCATTCTATCATTGCTGGGGAGGGTATTCTAGATACCTTTCCATACCCATTGGTTGAAAACTCAATGAACGTCAAGCTGAGGACGTTAAACAAGCGCTTCTTGGGAGGCAACCCAAGGTTAGTTTTCTTTTCTTTGTTTTTCTTTTTAGTTGTGTCAAACCCGTGCATGTTTAGATTAGGAGTTAAACATTAGGGACAATGTTCCATCCTGAGTGTGGGGTGGTGACTCGCACGAAACTACACCACCATATAATCCCGACTAGAGTCCAAGTTTTTAAACTCTAGCCGGGTGCAGTATAGAGCAAGTATTTAGATATCAACCCATGTCGGTCTGTCTACCCCTACTTCAGTTGTTATAATCATTATCTAGCAACAAAGTTTTGGTTTAAAAGTTTGCTAATTATAATAAAATAGGGAAAATGTAAATTATTTTGAAAACTCTTTTGTGGAAGGATCACTCGGGTGTCGCTTCCCCATAACTACTACCATGATATGTAAATTGGAAGGATTGCTTTGGGCAAGGTAACCACGAACCGCAGAGGGATGCATATATGGTCGGAGATCACATTGTAGGACGCTGATAGACGATGTTGTTGTAGAAGTACTGTACCATTTTTGGATAGTATGGTACACCGAGTGCTATCACCTTGAGCCAATATTGTTCCACAAATGGTGCCAAGAACCCGTAATCTTCGAAATGCGCATGCACATACGCCTTCCAGGAGCCACCTTGCGGTTTTGCATTCTCCTCCTTTATATTTGTCACTTTGCTTTTTTGGTCTGGAACAAAGTAGGGTTGAAATCTTCCCATTCAGAACTTGAGACAGCCACTTTCTCTGACTTTCTTTTCTTGTTTCCTCGAAATATCCTGAGATCAAAGAAGCGACAATTCAAGTTAGCCAAATGACGAAAGCAAACAGACTCGGTCGACCTGTCTGGAAATAGGTCGACCTATACTCTGCATGTATCGACAAAATCAAACAGCATCGGTCAACCTCAAACTAATTAGGTCGACCGTTGTTTGCAAGCAGAAGCAAAAACATCAAGTCCAATTTGCTAATATAATGAAACCAAACATTATAAGTCAACTTGACCGTTAATAGGTCGACCTATTATTGCAAGCATAAGCAAAAATCAAACAAAAATTAGTCCACCTTGCTAACATTGATGAAACCAAAGGAAATAGGCCGACCTTATCCGGAACAAGGTCGGCCTTTTATTTGCAAACAAAATCTCAAAATCGCTATAACTTCTTCATAAATCGACGGAACCAAACATCATCAGTCGAACTCAAACAAACTGGGTCGACCTTTGTTTGCAAGCAGAAGCACAAAACCATCAAAGTCCTTATTCCAATTTGCTACTATCAGCAACCGGTCGACTGCATATACTATTTTAAAAAATAATACTTCTCTTACTTGTCTCATTTCATGTCTCCAACCTTCTCTTTAGTAACAACATAAAACAAATCTTCAACTGGATTTTGCATATTTTTTATAAATCCTTCTAGGCCCTCCACTTTCATGACCTACAACTCAGAGTTAAAATTAAAGCTACATATGAAACAAACACACATTCCCAATTTAATAGGTCAATATGTAACATAAACTTACTCCGTGCTTTTTGAAATGACTCTTAGATTCATCTTCATCGCTATCAACACTAAATAATGTTTTTCATACTAAATGATCATTCTGTGGAGTGGTGTAGGAGTCACTTTCATATCGAGGTTTCTTGTACTTAGGAGAGGAACCACTGCTGCCAAACGTTGTTTCACTCTGTTAATCATATAGACAAAACAAATTGGCACTAATGATAGTAATACTAATATCTTCACTCGCATATGAATATACTTTCACTTAAACTTTTGGTCTGTCAATAAATTGTCTATACTC